CATCTCTGCTCTCATGACTTGTTTAAATCAAGTAAATGAACCTAAGCAGGCAGCCAATCAAAGGCGTTCATCCAGTCAAAGTAATCCTTGCAATCCTTCATCCATGTAATGGAAACGAGCAGTAAAACAAAATACTGCAGAGGCAGAGATTACAAAACGCTTTGATTTAAGAATGAATCCATCAGACTGTAATAAAATAAACACTATAATGTTCTGTGTTCTACATTTAATATACTGAAAAACTTTAATATTTTTCCAAATCATTTAGTAGCTGGAGAAAAAAAATCTAAATTTTAGTTTGATTTTCCAGCTCTTGTAATTAATGCAGCTCTTTCTTTGCTCTCCACCAAATTGAATTGAAAAAGCTTCCTGGATTCAATTCTATTCAGTTTATTTCTATAGCTCCAATTCACATCATGTCATCTCAGGTCACTTTACAATTCACCAGATCATCCAGGCAGATTGATTCAGATTTCTATCTAACAAGCTGATTGCATCGACTCATTGACTCTTCAGCAATCCCTGGATGGAAGAGAAACATCTTCAAACTTGGAAACAAAGTCCAGAGGATTCTTTTTTAACTTTTTTGGAATGACTGTGACCTGGATGACTGGGTGAACGACTGAATGTAGTGTAAAGTGCTTTGGTCAAGTCCTCTGACTTGAAAAAGCGTTATATAAGTACCGGCCATTAACCTTTATTTTTTACCATGAAACATGGACATTGTTCCTCAATGTCCAAAATTCTTATCGTGGTTTATACCAACAGAAATGATGGTGAAAGTGATAAACATGAAAAACCAATGCTGAAGTGAACCGTGAGGGTTTGTGGTGATGACGGGTCAGTGACCTCCGCTGCAGGCTCAGCTGCCGTACCTTATCTGCCATCTTTGACCTGCTTCAAATCAAAGGGCAACTTTTACAGAAACCTTTGGTGTTTTTCTCCGGATTGGGTTTAATCTGAAAACGGTTTGTAGGATTGAGGCAGCAGTGATCAGATGGAGACCATATGGACCAAATCATCAATAGATGGATTTAGGTTGAACCTTCTTCAGTGACGGCGTGTGGCCCTGTGAAAAAGTTGGTTTGGTTTGTCTCTAATCAGGACAGACCCGTCCGCCTCCACACCTGATCACTGCTGGCCCATTTAGAGAAGCTAGAGGAAGTAGGAGGAAGGTTCCACCTGAAATCTGAGCAGAAGTGTGCAGGTCAAATCTCTTCCTGTTTCATGTTGTCTGGAATCAGAATGAAGGTACGTGTGTGAGACGGGTAGTTGATGTTGACCTGTTTAGCTTTTCTGAGACGTTGGCTGGACGTGTTTCTGATTTTCATCGTCGTCTTCTTTTTTCTAGCCAATGAAAAGTCTTGATGTGAATGACGGCTCTCTGCTGCATGCGCCCCTTGGTCCCTACTTCTCTGATGGACAGCGCCGTGTGGACTATGTTCTGACCTATAGCGTCCAGAAGCCCAACGGGGTCCGACGGCCGTCCTCCAAGCCCAGCGAGGGCAACATGTTTGAAAGGCTACGGCGCAGCATGAGCACAAGGAGCAGCAAGGCGCCGCTGCAGCCCAGGGAGGACCCGGAGGTCGCCGCCACGGAGCAACAGGATAATTATCATGAGGATGACAAGCGCTTCAAGAGGGACGAGTTTGAGCAGAACCTGCAGGAGATCGGTCTGGAGCTGGAGAAGGATGAGTCGGTGAGAGAGAATGGTTTAATAAAACTTTCAGCAGATTGAATTTCTGTCAATCTATTTCTAATCTATTTCATTTCTAATCCTGCTGTTGGAAAGAATGCCACTTTAATACATCTGTTGCTTGTTTAAAGTGTTTCTTTAAATTAATCTTAGTGTGCACTGCAAAATTTTAAATCTAAAAAGTTGTTTTGTTTCTTAAAATAAGTGGATTTTTTCTTGATTCAAGCAGGTAAGTGAAACACTTTGCCAATGGAACAAGAAAATTTACATTTAAATAAGAAAAAACTATTGCATTGTATTATTTCAAGTGCAAATTATCTTATTTTAAGATTAAAATAACTCGTTCCATTGG